GTCTCTAATTCCATATCTTCAGATCCTTTTATTGAATGGCATAATAGACTTGGCCACGCGTCTTATCACACTATGCAGTACTTAGAATTCCTTAAGAATATTTCAAAAAATTCTGACTTACTAAAGGACTGTGAGATATGTCATAAAGCTAAACAACATAGAAAACCATTTCCCATCAGCACTATACATACGGAATCCATTTTTGACCTCATCCATGTGGATCTCTGGGGACCTTACAGGCAATTTTCTTTAACTGGGACTCCCTATATGCTTACCATAGTTGATGACTATAGTCGAGCTACATGGACCTTCTTACTTGTGCACAAAACACAAGTTGCCAAAACCTTACATGATTTTTTTTCGAATGGTGGAAACACAATTTAACAAAAGGGTGAAATGCGTTCGAACTGATAATGGGACTGAATTTGTTGGTTGCGAATGCCAAAATATCTTCAAAATGCTTGGTATTATTCACCATAAAACCTGTGTCTATACACCTCAACAAAATGGGGTAGTTGAGAGAAAACACAAGCATTTGCTACAGATAGCCAGATCCTTAATGTTCCAAGCCTGTTTACCAAAAACATTCTGGTCCTTTTCCTTGTTGATGGCCACTTTCATCATAAACAGACTACCTACCCAGGTTCTTCTTTGGCAAACACCTTTCGAGAGACTATTTCGTCAAAAACCAGATTATTCATTGTTTAAAACCTTTGGCTCCTTATGTTATATTGCCAATACCAAGCCACACAAAACCAAGTTTGAATCCAAATCTCACAAGTGTATTTTCCTTGGATATAGTCCAGGTCAGAAGGGATTTAAGGTGTTTGATGTTGAAACTAAACAATTACACGTTTCCAGAGACATTGAATTTTTTGAATCTATTTTTCCCTTCAAGCAAGATCCATCTGTTGAGTCCAATTCTTCACTACCTCTCTTTCCTACCTCTATTGATGATCAAGACTTGGAACCTGAGGTGGTTCCACATATCCCAAATGTTTTACCTCCTGCAGAATTGGCCCAAGAGTCACCATCTACTTCTGATAAATCATCACAATCTGTTCCCATCATATAGGTACCTTTTTCTGAAAATCAATCTTGTTCTGAATCTCAGCCACTTCCCATTTCCTCTATTCCAAATATTCGACACAGTGCTAGAAATAAGACTCAACCATCTTGGCTGCAGGACTATGTCACAAATGTTACTGTCAAGCGAGAATTGCTAATTGCTAATCCTGCTTCATGCTGCACAAAGGTCTGTTCTACTCATACAGGGTATACTCCACAAACTTTTCCATATATTTTTCCTTTGCACCTTAATCCTACCTATAGTGCATTTCTGGCAAATGTATCAATTACACATGAACATGTTTCTTATAATCAAGCCTGTAAGAGTGATGCTTGGAATCAAGCTATGTCGCAAAAACTCGATGCTCTGGAAAATAATCA